AGGAGGCGGCTGATCGATGTTTTCTTTTTTTTAAATATATTTTATTGATATTTTACAGAGAGAAAGGCAGAGGGATAGAGAGTTAGAAACATCAATGAGAGAGAAACTACGGCCCGCGGGCTGGATCCGGCCCGTTTGAAATGAATAAAACTAAAAAAAAAAAAAAAAAAGACCGTACCCTTTTATGTTATGTAATGATGTTTACTTTGAATTTATATTAGTTCACACAAACACTCCATCCATGCTTTTGTTCCGGCCCTCCGGTCCAGTTTAAGAACCCATTGTGGCCCTCGAGTCAAAAAGTTTGCCCACCCCTGCTCTATCCACTGAGCCAAACCGGCCGATGTTTCTTTCTCATCGATGTTTCTAAATCTCTATCCCTCTCCCTTCCTCTCTGTAAAAAATCAATAAAATATATTTTTTTAAAAAATGAAATACATAATTCTTGCTCACAGATGATAGAAAAGTAATCTCCTTAAACTCCAAATGAGAAAGATCAGCACCCTTCATTTCATCCGACAACTTTGAACACTTATAACACCAGTCTGGTATTTGGCATTCTGGAATCTAGAATCTAAAAGTGCTTTTTTGAAAGAAGCACTGTTAGTAATGAATCACAGGTTATGACTGTATTTTACAATTCCCCTATCTACAGTCATTGGGCATGCATAATCAGTACAGTTGGCAAGTGTGATACACTGTCATTTAGGGATAGGTTAGATAGATAGGTAATGTAGAAGAATATAAAATTAACACCATCCTTTGAATTGCAGGTGAAGCTGTGTGACTTTGGTTTTGCACGCATCATTGGTGAGAAGTCATTCAGGAGGTCTGTGGTAGGCACTCCAGCATACTTAGCCCCTGAAGTTCTCAGAAGCAAAGGTTACAACCGTTCTCTAGACATGTGGTCAGTGGGAGTTATTGTCTATGTGAGCCTCAGTGGCACATTTCCTTTTAATGAAGATGAAGATATAAATGACCAAATCCAAAATGCTGCATTTATGTATCCACCAAATCCATGGAAAGAAATTTCTGGTGAAGGTAAAAAAATGTTTAGCTCTATGCCTTTTAGTCTGAAAATCTTTGTGACCCCCCCCCCATCAGCCGTTTTTTACTTTTATATATATATCTTCTGTTCGTCTTCCAAATTCAATTAGTTACCTGTTTTTGAGCGCTCTTCCTTATAATTCCCAGGCATAGCACTAATCCAGGCCCCACTTGGCTCATTTTGAACTACTAAAATCTCTGTCCTTTCTAGTCATCACTGGCAAATGCATTTTCAGGAAACACGTTTACTTTCAATATCATTGGTCTCCCTGTAACCACGCTGCAGCTATTTCTGTAATATGACCCAAGCTTACTTCCAGCTTCATCTCCCACCACTCCCCTATATAATCCTGGACTACTTTCTGATGAGGTCTCTGCCTACAGTCCCTCCTCAGGTTCTTTATATCTAGAATGAGCTTTATAGTCAGTAGAATCTCCAGTTTGTTTTCAGCTCTCCTGTGGATCCCTACTGGAAAGCTTTATACATTTATTTTTCCTGCCTGGTAAAGGGTTTTGAGTTTGCTATTCCTGGTTGTGTCCAGCAAGGATGACTTGGTTAGCATTTGATACCCAAACACTAACCTTAAAGCTAAATTTAGCCATAACCCTAACAACAAAAGAAACCACTGTTGAGTATGAACTTTTTAAAAAATATGATTTTAGAGAGAGGGATAAGTAGAAACATCGATGAGAGAGATACATTGATTGGCTGCCTCCTGCACACCCCCTACTGGGGATTGAGCCTGCAACCCTAGTATATGCCCTAACTGGGAATCAAACCAGTGACCTCTTGGTTCATTGGTCAACACTCAACCACTGAGCCACACCAGCCAGGCTTGAGTATGAACTTTTGGTAGTAACTTATCACCTCAACCTAACCATGGAGGCAAGGTAATGGCCTTGGCAACTTTTCTAGACCAAGCCAGGGACTAGAAAGCAGTGTGATGTCAATATGATGGAAAGGGGAGGGCATTATCTTGTAATCAGCATGTTTTATTCATCTTGAAATAACATGTGAATACTTAGCATTGTGTGCTAAGCACCATTCTAAGCCATTTATGTGTATTAAGATAACGCCATCTTCTCAACAACCTTATTTTACAGATGAGGAAACGAAGGCAGAGTAGAATTTAGTAACTGACTTTGTATCACAGAATAGGTGGCAGAATGACTTCAGCCCAGCGTGGCAGGCTCCACTCTCCCCCCCCCCCCCCCCAAATTTTGTTTGTTTATTTTTTAATGGAATTTATTGGCGTTACAGTGGTTAATAAAATTATATAGGTTTCAAGTGTGCAATTCTATAATACATCATCTTAGGTGTTCACCATCCAGTCTCCTTTCTCCACCACTTATTCCTCCTTCACCCTCTTATACATGCCCCCACCCCTCCTTTCCCTCTAGTAATCACCATACTGTTGTGTCTGAGTTGTTTTTGCTTAATACCTTCACCTATTTCACCCAGCCCTGTTCCCTTGTCAGTTTGTTCTTTCTATCTGAGTCTCTTTCTGTTTTGTTCATTAGATTCCACATGTAAGTGAAATCACATAGTATTTGTCTTTCTGACTGTCTGGTTTCACTTATAATACCCTCTAGGAGTGTGGTTCTCAACCTTGGCTGCACATTAGAATCACCTGGGAATCTTTTTAAAATCCTGATTTCTGGGCCTCATCCTCCGGAAATTCTGTTTCTTGGTTACTAATATTGTGGCCCCACCCCATAACAAAGAAACAGAATTTCCAGAGGATGAGGCCCAGAAATCAGGATTTTAAAGATTCCCAGGTGATTCTGATGTGCAGCCAAGGTTGAGAACCACTGCTCTAGGTCCATCCATGCTGTTGTAAAAGGTAATATATCCTTATTTTTTTACAGCTGAGTAGTATTCCATTGTGTAAATATACCACAGCTTTTTTACCTACTCATCTACTGATGGCACTTGGGTTGCTGCCAAATCTTGGCTATTGTAAATAGCACTGCAGTGAATATAGGGTTTATATACTCTTTTGAATCAGCGTTTCATGTTTCTCTGGATATATTCCCAGAAGTGGAATTGCTGGGTCATAAAGCAGTTCCATATTTAATTTTTTGAGGAACCTCCGTACTGTTTTCCATAGTGGCTTCACCAGTCTGCATTCCCACCAATAGTGCATGAGGTTTCCTTTTCTCCACATCTTCACCACTTGTCATCTGTGGACTTATTGATAGCCATTTTGACAAGTGTGAGGTGATAGCCCATTGTGGTTTTAATTTGCATTTCTCTGATGATTCATGGCATTGAGCATCTTTACATGTTTATTGGCCATCTGTACTAGTATATCCTCTTTAGAGAAGTGTCTATTCAAGTCCTTTGCCCATTTTTTTATTGGATTGTGTTTTTTGTGGTGTTCAGTTCTTTATAAATTTTGGATATTAACACTCCTTATCAGATGTAACATTGGTGAGTATGTTCTCCCCGTTCAGTGGGTTGTCTTTTTGTTGGTGGTTTCCTTTGCTGTGCAAAAACTTTTTGGTTTGATGTAGTCTCATTTACTTTTTTATTCTCCTTGCCCGAAAATATATACCACAAAAATACTGCTACGAGAAATGTCTAAGATTTTACTGCCTATCTTTTCTTCTAGGGTTTTTATGGTTTTGAGTCTTACATTTAACTCTTTAATTCAGTTTGAGTTTATTCTTAGGTATGATGTAAATAGGTGGTCTAGTTTCATGTTTTTGCACATATCTGTCCAATTTTCCCAACACCATTTATTGAATAGACTGCCTTTACCCTATTGTATGTTCTTGCCTCGAATATTGACCATAAAGGCATGGGTTTATTTCTGGGCTTTGTTTTCTTCCATTGATCTGTATGTCTGTTTTTATGCCAGTACCGTGTTGTTTTGATTATTATGGCCTTATACTATAGTTTTATATCAGGTAGAATTACTACCTCTAACTTTGTTGTTCTTTCTCAAGATTCCTTAGGCTATTTGGGGTCTTTTGTGGTTCCTTATAAATTTTTGGAATATTTGTTCTAGTTGTGTGAAATACACCATTGGTATTTTGATGGGAATTGCACTGAATCTATAGATTGCTTTGGGTAGTATGGACATTTTAATAATATTAATTCTTCCTATCAGAGTCTATACTTTTAACCTGTATTTTATATTGCCTCCTTAATAAAAGAGATACACTGTAAATTCAGTAAACAGTTTCATGGATCATTAACATGTTAGTTTAAAGGCCATGTCCTTGAGGGGGGAAAAAATCCTCAACCCTTTATGTATTTCTATGGATTGAACTGCCTTCCAGGCAGTGCCACAGGTTTGGGGTGCTTTGTACTCCCAAATTCATGTATCTAATTTTGTATTTTCCTTAGCAATTGATTTGATAAACAACCTACTTCAAGTGAAGATGAGAAAACGTTACAGTGTGGACAAATCTCTCAGTCATCCCTGGCTGCAGGTAAAAAAATGTGTATCTCTTTGTCAAACCTCATTTGAGCAGATCATTGTGATTTCTCTTACCTAATGAAACTTCTGTAAGATCAACAGGCTCTACACATCTTAGAATTATGTAAGCGTTCTATGGTGATTAATTTGTACTGTGGCTGAATCTCTGGAAGTTTTTGCAGTAACACCATTGAAGTGCAGAACTGATAGGCAGTTAAACGCCCATCACCTGAAAGCAATGAATTTGCCTTTCATGGGGCTTTATGTGTTCGTTTCACCTTTTTGTACAATGAGCATAACACATTATTTTCAAGTGTACTTTACTTTTAAATAAATTTCTATTCAAAGGTTCATATTTGCATTGAAGAGACTGGAAATGCCATTTGAAACATCTGCCTTAGTTCCTCCAAAAGCTATTTTATAGATTTGTAAAAAGGTACCCCCAAACTTCAGTATAAAGAGAGAAGCTTTAGAACTATTATAAGAGCAGTGAAGGGTAGAATTAACTTAAAAACAAATGCAATCAGTTATTCTCAGGGTTTATTAAATTACCCTGATAATAGATTCTAGCTAAGCACTTTCCCTTATTTTAAGGAGTAAGTCATGGACCTCTCATAGTATAGAACAGAATGTTTTAGTGATTATTAGCCACCTCAGAAACCTGAGTCAGTTTTTTAACTTTAGAAACTAGTTAATTTCTTCATATTCAGTTTGAAAAAGTATCTTTAACACTGATAATTTAAAATATTACAAATGGAACTTACTTTATATAGCAAGTACTTATGAGTAGGAGATTGTCAATTTATATGATTATGATGCTAAAACAAAAAAGTTGACAGATTTTGTTTCTTTTATAGTTCATAGTCACTTCATTTTCTTCTAGGACTATCAGACTTGGCTTGACCTTAGAGAATTTGAAACTCGTATTGGCGAACGTTACATTACACATGAAAGTGATGATGCTCGTTGGGAAATACATGCGTACACACACAACCTTGTATACCCAAAGCACTTCATCATGGCTCCCAATCCAGATGACATGGAAGAAGATCCTTAATTATCAATGAGCTAACTTCAGTAAGGAAAGATTTCATTTTATGGACAGATATTTTGCTGCACAACTGTTGTTCTTTGGAGGCTCTCATCTGCAAGGATGCAAAGACATGAAGAAATATGATAAGGAATCAGTGACACCAATACTGTAGTTCATAATGAGTAGGTACAAGAGGGGAAACAGTGATAAAGACACATAATGACACCAAGATGAAGCTTTCATAAATTTTTATAGCATAAGAAATAACTGGTTTTTGTATTTTTTTTCCTAATCCTTCACTTTTGTACAATAGTGGCACTTAATTTATCTTCCCTTTCCTGTTCTTATATTATTTTCAAGAAAGGGGACAGATGGCAAGCTAGGATCCAGTTATTACATAGCTTGACCAAAACATGTAAGAGTTACAAGGTTGATTACTAAACAATTAAATTTAAAGAGATATCAGAGAGGCTGCTGGCATATGATTTCCTATAAAGACTTTAAACATTTATTTAACTGACCCTAGAGGGATTGAAATGTTTTTCATATCTGCCTTAAAAAGGAACGCTGGATTATTTTACCTTTCTTTTTTAGGTCAATCAGGACTCCAAACTCTGTTTTGGAGTTGAAACTCTGAATATGCTCTCTACAACATAAAAATTAAGTTGTCACCTTTTGTTACAGTAGTCTCTAAGATAATTTTGGACAACTGATGTTACAAAACCAGGAACTGCTGATCTGGGTGATGAGTTACTATGTATGTCTTCTCATAGCTCAACTCTGCTACTAATAAATAATGTTCTCACTGACACCACTATGATGCCACAATTAGATTCCAGCATTTAATGGGTATAGACCTAAAATATAATTATATATCTTAACACAGGGTTGAATAATTTGAGGGAGGAAATTAATATATACTAAAAGTAACACCAGTGCAGGGTCAGTTAAAACTATAGGAAAGAATAGCAAACAGTGTCCTTTTTTTTCTTCCCTTAGGTTATTGGAAGGCTGTACAGATGTCTAGAATGTTTTTAAATCAGTTATTTTAAACTGTTTGGGTTGAGCATAAAACCCTTAGAAGGGTAGGACTCTATGATCAGCAGAGCAAATGAAAGGATAAGTATTTTTAAAACATTTCAGCTCCAGCAGCCAGCTAAATAAATTTTTTTCTACTCAGATATGTGATTTAAGAGGTTAGACTTTTTCATAGCTTTTTAAGAGTTACTAATAGTTTTCCCTCCAAAAAAATTAATATCTGGGACTTATAAAATCTATGGCTTTTTGTTTCTCCACTCTTCAGTAATCATTGTAAACTTTTTTCCCTCCAAAAAGAGCAAGAGATGTGTAATTAGTAGATGTGGGTTTAAGTCTTACAAGTCTTGGCTCCCTGTATTAGCTGTGTTGGCCTGGCGAGATGACAATCTGAGCCTCGAGTTCCTCAACCTACAAAATGAAGTTCCCAATTCTTGCCTCTACCTTCATCACGGTGTTGTTTTGAAGATGTTATATATGAACATAGTCAATAAGCTAAAAGATATAAAAGTGTTCATTGTCACTGCCCATGAACTAGAGGTAGCAAAGGAAAAGGTTGTTCCTCTTTTAACAAAGACTCGGAGAACTTTTCACAATCTCTGAGTAGCAAGCGTGTACTGTTGATATGTTCTGAGCTCTTTTTACACTCACAACAGTCATGAGCTAAGTGCATAATGAACCCCATCTCACAAACAAGGAAATTGAGGCACAGGGAGATTAACTAGCTGCTGATGTTCACACAGTTCGTATTTGAACCCAGACAGTGTGGCTCTGGAGTCCCTCTTACCCTTTAGACTGTTTTGTTATACTGCTTCCCCATAAAGGTCTCCAGGAGACAGTCCACATCTCTCAGTATTTCATTCTCACAGGAGTTTTAAAACTCAAATGTGTTTTCCCTAGGATAGATGACCTCCCTAAATTTCTCCAAAGTAAGTCTGTTTATATCACTGTGCTAAAAGGGAATAATTCTGAGTCAGTAGGCATCCTATTATGGTTTTACTACATAAGGTGAAAATTAACTGGAATGGTGTTTGTTTGCTATGCTTATATAATCAAACGTTACAAGCCATGAAATTATTGCACTCTTTTCGTCGTTGAATGCCTAGGAAGTTTTCTAATTTGTAAAGGCACTGTCAGATAATTTGGAGTTGAGTAATTACTCCAGATACTGTATAACCTGCATAACCTTTTTTTTGTCTTGAAATCAAGTTGTTTGTATAAAAAATAATTGTGAGAAACATTTGATAATGTACAAAATAGTCTATAATGACACTGTTCAGTACATTTTTATATTTTTTGTTACATCCCACTTTTTTGTAAATATCCTCAAAAAAGCTTAATAATAAAATGTATTTCCATATCACCATACTTTTCCATGTGAAAACCTGAGCCTATCTCTGGTCGAGATATCCAAAGAAAATTTTATTTGGTTGTGTTATTTTCCCAGGCTTTGGTAAGAGAACTATTTTGGAAATAGTATTTGTAAATGGAACTAATGCTATATTTAAGAACAATGATTTTTTTTAACTGCCTAAAATAAAAAAATAACTCATTATTATAAATTGATATGCAATTTGAGGTAATTAGAGGTCTCATTTCTTGGAATTAAAGTCAATAATTATAACAATACATTTTTTAGGCACTACTATTAAATAATCCACTACTGCAGCTGCCAGAAGACTTGAACGTATACCTAATACCAAAGTGAATTTCCTAGGTTTTAAGATATAAGGCATTGCCTGACTCTCCTATTAAATGGCCATTTCGGTTGTTTTCAGTTTTCCATAGGCTTTCTTACCTTCACAAAATTGTCCCAACTAAGACTTTGAGGGGAAAAATCATGGAAATAGAATAAGGGTGGCTAAGAATGGCCCAAGGCTGGACAGTATCTGAAAAAATAAGGCCTCCATGTTCCTTTACTTTAGAGTGACACACAGAGTGCTAATCCTCTTCTCAGTTAAGCCAAAGAAGCAATAAAAAGCAGCAGTTCATCACTGCCAGTGAACTCCAGTATAGTTCAAGACACATGCCTAATATCCTTTTCCTTCAATCTCACTGGTAAATTTGTGTTGCTAAAATAGCAATGTGTCAGAATGTCCGTATGTCTGGTATTAATATAAAAGTTCTGCCCTGACTGGTTTGGCTCACTGGATAGAGCGTCGGCCTGCAGACTGAAGGGTCCCAGGTTCGATTCCGGTCAAGGGCACGTACCTTGGTTGTAGCCCATCCCCAGTGGGGGCTGTGCAGGAGGCAGCTGATCAATGTTTCTCTCTCATCGAACTCTCTCTCATCTAAGTCTCTATCCCTCTCCCTTCCTCGCTGTAAAAAATCAATAAAATATATTTTTAAAAAAATAAAAATAAAAGTTCTGTGAACTAAAACATGAGAACTTAGTAAAACTAAAACTTGACATTTATCTGAAAATAAGGGAGAATTAGCTCAATTTGGAAACTTATACCTCCTAGTCTACATTTAACTCACATTTTAAATGTTTACTAGTTTTACTGTGATTTTTAAACTTTTTAAAATCTAATTTTATTTTTAATTATAAAATTCCCAGAAGCCTGTGGTAAAAAATCCAAATACTTCAAAGGAGAACAAAGGAAAATGCTCTTTCCACCTCTAAGACCCTCTTCCAGATTGGGAAATTTAATAGTGATTATTGGGTGCCCTTTCCTTCTTATATACAAGTAAGTAACACAGAACAAAAAACAACCTATCTGTACTAAAATACTCCTTTCTATGGAATTACTTATAAGCATTTCTTCAAATGTAGCTTTTCTCCAACAAAAATGGACTCATAACTATAAAACATTTTGCACCCTACTCTTTCCACTTATATCTTAGAGATCTTTCCATGTCAGAACATACCACTCTTCATCATTTAAAAACATAATACATAGTTCTATTTAATCAGTCACCTGTAAATGGCCATTTAGGTTGTTTGCAGTTTTCCAATCAGTGTTCATGTTTACTTTTTGAAATAAAATAAAAATATAGCAACTAGCTTTATTTACTAAAGGAAACTCAGTTTCACACATAAGAACACTTACTTGCTCCCAGAGTTAAAATAACTTTAAAAGATTAACGTTTAGACCTAGCTGGTTTGGCTCAGTGGATACAGCATCGGCCTGCGGACTGAAGGGTCCCAGGTTCGATTCCAGTCCAGGGCACATGCCTGGGTTGCAGGCTTGATCCCCAGTGGCGGGGCATGCAGGAGGCAGCCAATCAATGATTCTCATCATTGCTGTTTCTATCTCCCTTCTCTGAAATCAATAAAAATATTTTTTTTAAAATAAAATAACTTTAAATGATTAACGTTTAGCCCTAGATGGTTTGGCTCAGTGGATAAGCCTCGGCCCATGAACTGAAGCGTCCCAGGTTTGATTCTTGTCACGGGCACATAGCTCGGTTGCAGGCTCAATCCCTGGCCTGGTTGGGGCACGTGCAGGAGGCAACCAATCAATCCTCTCTCTCTCTCACATTGATATTTCTCTCTCCTCCCTTCCACTCTCAAAAAATAAATGGAAAAATATCCTTGGGTGAGGATTAACAAAGAAAAAAAAAAAGATGAACATTTAGTAGTATCTATACATATAAAAGGCTAAGCAACCGTCTGACCATCTGACTGGTAGCTATGACACACAATGATCCCCAGGGGGCAGATGCTCAACACAGGAGCTGCCGAGCTGCGGTGACTTGGCAGCAGCAATTCTCAAGTGACACACCCCAGGACCAGAGAGGAAGGAGCCTGATTCAGGGGTGCGTCACCCAAGAACCGCCCTCTCACAACATGGGACCCCTCGGGGGGATGTTGGAGAACCAGTTTTTGGCCCAATCCCTGCAGGCCAGGCCAAGGGACCCCACTCACTCCCCAGGTGCCCTTTTATTTTTTTATTTTTTAAATATATTTTATTGATTTTTTACAGAGAGGAAGGGAGAGAGAGAGAGAGAGTTAGAAACATCGATGGGAGAGAAACATCGATCAGCCGCCTCCTGCACATCTCCTACTGGGGATGTGCCCGCAACCCAGGTACATACCCTTGACCAGAATCGAACCTGGGACCTTTCAGTCCACAGGCCGACGCTCTATCCACTGAGCCAAACCGGTTTCGGCGCCCCCAGGTGTCCTTTTAGCCACGGCGCTGCTCCAGGTACAGCTGGCCAGGGAGGGACCACGGGAGGTTGGCTCCAGGGCGTGTCCGGCCCCTCTCACCCAGTCCGGCCCCACCAGCCACCTTTTAATTAATATGTGCATGAATCTGTGCACCAGGGCATTAGTTGTATATAAGATGGGCTGTTTTTATTGGCTGTGAAGAAATAAAATACTTTTTTTTTACCTTTGATATATGAAATTCGTTTCCTTTATTTTAGTTTCTTAGGTAGACTTGGGGACTAAAAGGCCAAACTGAAATATCACTGCCAAGTAAGTTCACTAAATCCAGCCACAGGTGATGGAGAAGGTTTTGAATGATTTGCATTTATCTCATGGCTTCTAGCATGAAGTCTCTGATGAGGCAGCAAGGCAAAAAAGTTAAATCGTTCTCCCATCTTCTTAGGATTCATTAACATATCATACCCCTGAAGTAACTGCTGCCTCAGTGATGGCTCAGTGGATTTATCTAGAAGAACCTGAAAAGAAAATAATTTCTTAGTAAAAAAAAAAAAAAAAAAAAGGGTTTCCAGTTATACGTAGTAATAATGACTATTAGCTATTCAATAAAGCAGTGTTTAAAAAGTTATTTCTGACTACCTGCCTCAAAATCATGGGGTACTTATTGAAAACATAGGTTGCTATGACGCAAACCTGTAAATTTGTATGTTTAACAGATATTCCCAGATGGGCTGATCTACACTGAAGAGTAAAAATGTCCTCAGAACAGTTATAACATTCATACTCATAATTGCGGTTTTCTTAGTGAACATGAACACTACTTGAAAACCTTAATTCTACCCCTTATGGAGATGCATGAAAAGACGGCTGCTCCGCCCCAAGGCCACCTGGTTAAACTAAATCCTATGCCGCTGAAAAGACTGGCTGGCTACAAGAACATTTAGGCCAGGCAAACTTTTTAACTGTTTGTTGGAAATACTGTGAAATTAAAATACTTAATATGGAAATAAACCGTTACCTTTAGCCGGACATCAATGCCCATATTTTTTAAAAACGTTTGTTGTTTTATTGGACCCAGAGAAGCCACTGTTCCCTGTGCCATTCTGCGCAAATAACTGAAGTCCACGTCAGCTGTTAGGTCGGCTGTTCCTGGGGCAATTAAGACATCATGAAGCTTGTGGCCACAAAACCCCTTGAACATAATTTTTAAAATAATAAGTTTTTGTCCTTTTATGCTATTACCAAGATTTAAAAAATGCTATGATTTTAGTACATTTTATATAACAACTGTTGAAAATATAGCTTAAGTCAGTGGTTTACACACTGTTAATGCAGTAGCACCATTTTCTATGTGGAAAACCCAGTATAAAGCACAGTGTTGGGAGCGCCTGAAGATGTTGCTATCCTTAACAATTAACGTTTTCATCACTGCCCACAAACAGAGGAGATCTCATTAATCCTCCGGATGAATCCAGGTTACCAGAACCTAGATAGTGTTTTACAAAGTCTAACCATCAACTAGGTGCCTCAAAACCACCTGAGAATATGTTACCAGACCTACTGAATCAGAATCCTGGAGGTAAAGCTAGGAAATCAGCATTTCTAATACACTATCCAGGCTTTCCTTAGATGCAATAAAGTTAGAAATTGAGAACCAGAGAGTTAGAAAATGACTAATAGCATCTAGTTAAATATATTTCAATTAAAGTAAATTGAACATAACTGATCATATTCAAAGAATTTAAGAACAGATGTTTAGGGAGAAGAAAAAAATACACCTGAAGAAGAAAAAAAATAGTGCAAATCTTATAGGAAAAGTTTGAATGATTACAGTAGCTAGATCAAATCTGCAAAGTACCAAATTATTTCTTTAAATGAAGGAGGGGTAGAATATTAAAAAAACTTCAGGCAAAATTTTCCAATTGTATATTTAGATGCTTAGTAGGATCTATGCAGACCTAGGTTCTGCAACTTAAGGAAGAATGTAGACAATTCAGACCCTGTTCAAAGGAAAGTTGGACAGTGGAGTCAGGCTTAGGAATAAGATCTAGAGTTAAAAGTAATTATAATATGAATTAATATTAATTATAAAATAATGTAATACAACAGTGTGAAGCACTATAGAAACCAAAGATAAAGATCTTAAATGAGCTTCAAAACTAACAATTGATAACTAAGTAAATCATACCAATTAAGTTCTGACAAGTCATGTTACTGAATTATACATACTCTGAAGGTATCTGTCTTAGTCCCATCATGACCGTAATCAGCAATCAGGGCAGCACCTCCAGTAAGAGCAATGCGTTGAGAAAGTTCCTGAATAATAACACCAGCCTCGGGACACACTTCCACATGATCCCTTGTCTCATCATGCTAGTAGGAACAGTTGAAAGAAAACACATCATTCAAAAGAACTGATTCCTTTGTTTTTCAGGTTTTCTGTATTTGCAGGTTTTTCTACAATGAGCATTTCTTATTTACAATAAAAATAAATTTGTTCTCAAACTGTCAAACTACAGCGGGAAAGCCGGGGAGGGTGGGGGGGGGGGGGTAAGAGATCAACCGAAGGACTTGTATGCATGCATATAAGCATAACCAATGGACACAAGACACTGGGGGGTATGGGAGGCCAGGAGATGGTCAAGGGGAAAAAATAAAAGGAGACATATATAATACTCTTTGTAATACTTAAAGCAATAAAACAAAATTTAAAAATTTGTTCTCAATATGAGTATGTTCTGTACACTCAACTTTTCACAAGTCATCCTCTTTGTTATACAAAACTCTTTGGTTCTTTGATGCCGTCCACTAAGTTTACAAAGATATTTCTATAAACAAGTATATGATGATGCCTCTGTTGTGGCTACAGGCATCCCAATGATAAGCTCTATATCTAGAAACATCAGCTTATGAACTAGTGCCAATGCACCCGGGGCCTTAATTTCCCAAGATGTTCAGGTATTAACAAAGGGTCCTCAATAAGTGCATATTAGTTTAAAAAGTGAAATGACAAAATTAATACTCATTAGCTTGACTAGTATATATGAAGTTTCACTAATTCCTGAGATAATGAAAAATTTCTTTTTCTTCATTAGTAAAACATACACTAACTCTTGCCCCTCCTAGCACCCTATTAGAAATGAAGTACTGACCCTGATGTTTCTGCCTGTAACAGCACAGGTCTAATAGGTACAAAGTCAGGCAAACTAGCTTCTGAGTCTCAGCTCCTCCTCCTGCTTGCTAGGAATCAGCTACTCTTGGAGTCCGCTCCTCATCACATTATGTACCAGGTCTTCCGTGGGGATTACATGAAACAATGAACCACTTACCCCCCTGCTTTTTTTCTTTTGCTTTGTTCTTTTTTCTTGTTTATTTAGATTTTTTGTTTTGCCCCAGTGCTATTAAATAAATCATTGTGATTTAATTATAAAAACATAAGGTTAAGCTGACACATCTCAGTGTACCACAATGACATTCTTACTATCTCAGCCTGCTCTCCAAGATGACAGACTCTATTATCATTTGCCCCATTCAAATGAGAGGAAAATCACTCTCTCTCATAAGTGAATACTACTTAAGTCAACAATTAAAAAGAATCACAACTCCCAGTGCCAGGAGCTTGGCTCTTGGTAGCTTTATGAATTTGTTTCTCGCTCAGGTAAAATTAAGCAGCCAGAAAATGAAAAAAATAGAAATGTTTACAAGCATTTAGGCTGATATTTTCACTTATGCTTTTCAAAAAAAAACACACAACTTAATTCATAAATTCATGTTTAAAAGATATTGTGCTTTTAAAACTGATAACTTCTGAGTTAGAAGGTCTTAGTTATGGTCCAAAAAGTAGAAATATTTTTTCTGAACTGAGAAAAAAAAACTAAAACAGGCTATCTAGAGCCCAAACATTCCTGAGAAGTACAGGATTTTTTGAACCTTCAAGCATAACCCTAAGATGGGCTCCTGTGATTATTCCTTAGAGTCAAGAGAAAACAGTAGTAAAATACCATTCTGGCGATCTAGAATCAGAGAGAAAAGGCACTCTCTACCTAGCACTGGATTTGTTTGAGAGTTAAGTGAGATAATACAGAGTAATACATACAAAGTACTCAATAAATACTGTCGTTGTTACTTTACACTGTATTACATTTGTTTACACAGGCATTGAACCCTTCCATCAAGAGACAATATTGTCCACATTTGAGAGGTAAAACGGAGAAGATACGAGACAAATGCTTATTAACTTTATCTGTAATTGTATAACAGTACAGGTCACATAGCTAAGAAATGATTTTAACCCACTCTCCCGACTACAGCCTCTGCACTGTTCACTGTTAATAAAAAGCACCTCACGTGTTGCAAGCAACTACTTCCCCCTATAAAGGAACTCTAAAATAGAAACTCAGAAAATAAGACTTGATTGGTAATAAACTCAGAAGAAAAATAAACTTATTCCTACTTGTATGAAGGCTTCTGCTGGGGTGGCACAAGGCGCCAAAACAAACCTCAGTTTATCAGAAACTTGTGGATCAATATCAATGAGTACTTCTCGCCATCCTTGTGGGGTTTTCTAAACACAAAATAACGCATAAAAACAAATTTTTGCAAGTCTGTTCTCAAAACCATCACCAGCAAAAAGTACTATTGGTTTTCTCCTCTTACCACGTATAACATAGATAATATTTACAGACCACTTTTACCACTTAAAATTATTTCAAGGCTTTACTTCATTTCTTCTAAATAAAGAGTAGACTGATAGATACAAACTATTAATGTTGTTTAGATATGAGGTAGAGCTGTAGAAGATGAAATAAGCACCCTAGAAAGTGCCCCAAAATGGAAAACACACTTAGGAACACCAATCAGAAGCTTTTGCTAATAAATTGCTATATAATACAGACTCTTAGCCTTAGAAGTTATCAGTACAAATACATTACTACCAAATCTTAAATCTTCTCATAGGAAGAATAAAGATAAATTCTAATCTTTGAGATTTAAAAATATTTGCTAAAAAGTAATTTTTACTGTACTATAGCCATTTAGCATCTTATACTCTCATGCATCTTTATCTCAGGAGAATAAAGAATTCTTTAATAATTATACTACGAGAATTAAGAATTCTACTTAATATTTCATTATCGCTAACTTCAACAAATAATGTTTATATACTGAATAACTAAATACCGCAAATATTCATTCTTACAACACAAGGTCCTTTGTTGTTCAATTATAAACATGTCCTGTTTTTCATCATACCTGAAACTTATGCACAGGAAGGACGTCAAAAAATTCATGTGCAACATAAAAGCTGTGCTCTATTTAAAAGTGGAAGAAGAAAAAAATGTTTAAGCATATTTAAGATAACGAATTGGTTCTTCTGAACATTAACAAAAAATGCCTAATTCTTTCACTACTGTGAGGGGTTGTGATCAAAATTCTCTCATTAGTCTATGGAAAATCATTACCTTTTGGAACATCCTGCAGATCTCGGTACCAGGAAACTGGAATCCCAGACTTAGTAACACCTTTCATGTACACTGGGGATTCAGCATCTCGCTCTAATGGGACCTTCTCTTCGGTCAGAGTTAATGCTTGAATCTCACTTAATTTTTGGCTCACCTCTACTAGATGTATTGAAATGTCACACTTTTTCAGCACAGATCCAAGCTGACTAAACACCTAAATAAAAAAAGAAGAAAAATTGGCAAAATACAATGGGCTGAGTTTCGTTTTTCTAACCACTGACCTCAGTAATTTGCTCATCATAGTATAAGTAATAATTGGTTCCAGAAAAATTTGTTCCTTACACAGCCACTCTCCAGCAATCCATAAGAATCATAACCTATTCGAGTTATTAAACACTAGAGGGCCGTTGCATGAAATCTGTGCAACGGGCTTGGCCCTCACAGCCCCAGCTTCCGCTGGAAGGTCATCACGAAGGACATCGTAAGGCTGTTCGGCTGTCCGGTCTAATTAGCATATTATGCTTTTATTTTTATAGATAGGGTATATAAAAAAGGAATAGCCCGAACCGGTTTGGCTCAGTGGATAGACCATCGGCCTATGTACTGAAGGGTCCCAGGTTTGATTCTGGTCAAGGGCATGTACCTTGGTTGCAGGCACATCCCCAGTAGGGAATGTGCAGGAGGCAGCTGATTGATGTTTCTCTCTCATGGATGTTTCTAACTCTCTATCCCTCCCCCTGCCTCTCTGTAAAAAGTCAATAAAAAATATATTAAAAAAAAAAAAAGGAACAGTATAAAACAGCGGTTCTCAACCTGTGGGTGGCCAACCTGTAGGTCGCGACCCCTTTGGGGGTCGAATAACCCTTTCACAGGGGTCGCCTAAGACCATCGGAAAACACATATATAATTACATATTGTTTTTGTGATTAATCACTATGCTTTAATTATGTTCAATTTGTAACAATGAAAATACACCCTGCATATCAGATATTTACATTATGATTCATAACAGTAGCAAAATTACAGTTATGAAGTAGCAACGAAAATAATTTTATGGTTAGGGGTCACCACAACATGAGGAACTGTATTAAAGGGTCGCAGCATTAGGAAGGTTGAGAACCACTGGTATAGAATTTGGTTTCCTAATGATAAAATTTAGAATTGTGATTAACAAATAAAAATAAAAGATTTCCCCATCTTCACCAAAACTTGGTGTTGTCAGACTTACTTTTTCTGAGGATATAGTGGTATCATACATACATTTTTTATCCTCACCCGAGGATATGCTTATTGATTTTAGAGAGAGGAGGGGAGGAGAGGGAGAGAGACAGACATACAGACAGACACTGATGTGAGAGATAAACATCAATTGGTGCCTCCTGTACACACCCCAACTGGGATTGAACCTGAAACGTAGTCATGTGTCCTAACTGGGAATCGAACCCATGACCTTTTGGTGTATGGGACAAAGCTCCAACCAAATGAGCCACACCAGGACTGTCTCATCAATTTAAACTCATTTCCCTGACTACCAATGAGTCTGAGCATCTTTCTGTTAGTATTGGCCATTTAGGTTTTCTGTTTCATGATGGGCCTATTCACATATTCCGCCCGGTTTTTCTAGTAAGTTATCTTTCATCTTATTGACTTTGAAGACTAATAGTTCTTTGTTGGTTATATGTGTTGCAAATAACTTCTCTAACTTATGGTTTGTCTCGCCACTCTATGGTGTCTTTGAAGAACAAAAACTTTCTAGTTTCTTTAAAGAACACAAAGTTCTTAATTTTAATGTAGTGGAAATCATTACCATTTTCCTTTACGGGTTCTGCTTTATATATAACTTAAAAACTTTTTCCCTACTCAGAAGACAAATATGATCTCCCATAATGTCTTCTAAATGTTTTATACTTGTAGCTTTCACTTTCGCCCCACCCCCATATTTTACCATAAAACAGACAATAACTAATCACTCACTGTATTATTCTGACATATTTTAGTTAAGAAATATGAGATTAAGGAAATAGGAGGACTGAAAGCCAAGAAAATCAACAAAGTTTGCAAACTCAGTCAAAAGTAATAAGAATCACATACATGAGACTTTAAGACACTCCTTTATACCTACCCTCAAAATATCTCCTGCAAGGGTACCCCGACCTGGACCCAGTTCCACCAGCTGGAAAGTTGCACTTTTCCCAGTGGCCATCCATTCGCTAATAAACCATATCCCTAGCAGCTGTGACAAGAAAAAACTTACATTAAAGTATTATAAAGTATCAAAGTATACCACAACATTAAACTCCATGCAAACACATACTTTATGCCAGAAAGCAAAATGTTTGCAAACAACCATATGTGTTTAATATGTCCACATAGTTGCACACACAGGAAAATTCACTAGGACTATGTTACAACACATACTAGTTAGGAAGCTTTAATAACTGGAGAAAATAGTTAAAAGTTACCCTCCAGCCGAAACCGGTTTGGCTCAGTGGATAGAGCGTCGGCCTGCGGACCGAAAGGTCCCGGGTTCGATTCCAGTCAAGGGCATGTACCTGGGTTGCGGGCACATCCCCAGTGGGGGATGTGCAGGAGGCAGCTGATCGATGTTTCTCTCTCATCTATGTTTCTAACTATCTCTCTCTCTTCCTCTCTGTAAAAAAATCAATAAAATATATTAAAAAAAAAAAAAAAGTTACCCTCCACTACAAAAAGTCCCATGACACGGATAAGAATATCATAGAACAGTACTAGTATTTGAAAGCAAATAGACATATGAAATATAATTATGTATATAACTATGCCAGTTCTTCATATCATTTCAATAATTACATGGCTCTTACACATAAGCAATATATATTTTAGTACCTGAATTCTACATCCTCTTGTGTACAATATCTTAGTTCTAAATTGATGAAAGGTTATTATATGGAAATAAATAAAGTAGAGTTCCTGAAAAGAATTCAAAGTTTCTTAAAGGAAGACTTCTACTGTAACTATGGCTAAATTAGAGTTGGGGGCTTTAGAGCTCATTTTGATTCCAGTAATTCTTTCTGGGGTACAGACTACCTCTTTCCTCACCCTTGCTTTTGTCTCCCTGCCTTCTCCCATTCTCATATTTCATCTGGTTCACTTCTTTACCTCCATCTCTTTTCCTTCTCTTTACTTTTGTCCCCCTTATCTCTACATTCCCTTTTCTACAGTAAAGTATAAACTTTTTATTGCCCATTATACCATTTCCTTTCCTGTTACCTTTCTATTCCCTCAATATTTACTACTAAAAAACTAAAACTTTTGAAGAATCACAAAAACAAAGTGGTAAAACACTATTATATAAAATAAAGCACCTTGATCTGCTTTCAAATGTTTGTGATATTAGTTTCTTTTATAGTTTAGAATGATATTACCTCTCCGAAGATCTGACTTATTTCAGGTGAAGTAATAAAATCTCCTTTTTCTCCTAGCATGTCACGGTGCACATAATATCCCTAAATAAAAAGAGAAAACGGAAAAAACAATTAATTTTCAAATAAGGCTATTTTTAAGACACCCCTCCAAAATCATACATAATGTATACAATGAAATAAACAATTACATAGGAAGAAAGTTCTCTCTTCCAAATAATCAAGATAATCACAGTATCTTTACCTAAATTTTAGAAAGTGACAGTCATTTTGCAGAACTGGTAGAAAAGCAGGACACTCCACCCTCCTTCTCTCTCCCTGCTCCTAAAACCCTGCCTATCCCTCCAGCCTCCCCTCCGCCCCCCTCAAATTCTCACACTTTCTGCTTCAAAGTAACCCTGCCTGTTGGCCATGGTGTTTCTTGACCTGGGTGCTGGTTCCATGGAGTGTTCATTTTGGGAACATTCATCAATCCTTCCTTCCTAAGTAAGCACTGCACGTGTATTTTTGCTGTGTGTTATGAACCCCTCGGTAGTATAATGAAGCTGGTGGACCCCTTCAGAGAATGTTTTTTAATGCACAGGACATAAAACACATAGGGTTACCAAAGAAAGCAAATGAAAAAGACTTAACACATATTTAAAAATAAATGTCTGATACAGTAATATATGTGCTTCTTGATAAATGTATTAAAAAAAACAATATCGAGCCAAAGGCCTAATAAGTAAAGTTCTGAAGCACAGATGAGCAAATATTTTGAGATCACTCTGTTGTGACAGTATTAGTAATTTGCACTGATGCAAATTAAAGTTACAGGTACTGATGCTACTGGATGTTGCCTATGCTCATAGTTAGAAAATGCTAAATTTCAGTTAATTCAAATAACTACCTTGCCTAAACCTCTGGACAATGGGCCACTCCACATCCAACAACAGGCCAAATCAACCCCAGAATTCCACAGATCTCATATTTCAACTCAGCAGAAGGGGGAACACTCTAAAATAAAAGGACTACTGGCTTTCACCAACTGGCTTAGCGGAGCAGACAAGGAAATAGAGGCCAGAAAGCTGTGACAATGTTTCATCCTAGAACAGTAAAGCCCCAGACCTTCCATTCTCAAGACAAAAATCCAGAATATGTTCTATTTCCAGTCGCCTATTTCCACGCAGCGTCCTGTAAACTTCACACATCGGAATGAACTCTTACCTTTCCCTCCCCTTCTACATTCCCTTTCCCCAGAGAAATGACTGCACCATCTACCATCAGCGCAGACAGAGGAGTCATCCATCCCTCATCTCATCCATCCAATCGCTTACAATCTCTCCTGGGCACCTCTGGGTCTGTCACCTGTGCAATGGCGCTGCCGCTGACTCGATCCAGCCCTGACCGACTGGCATTCCTGTATGGTCCTCGGGGCCCGTGGGGCGGCGCTTCCCCGGGAAGGGACCCCGGCGGTCGGGGCTGAAGACGCTCGGGCTCCGGTCTGCGCGCACCCCTCCCGGCTCACGCTTCGAAAATCTGCCAGCGTGGGCCTGGTCCTCGGGCTCCCCGACCCGCATACCTTAACTGGGTTGGTCAAGACCTCCTTCATGTACTCGGCCACAGTGATGGGGCCCGTCGACTTGATTTTGTACACAAGATGCTGCAGCATCGGAGTCGCCGGGCTGTTTTCTACCGGCTCTTTCCCGGAGCTGAAGTGTTTTCCTCCCCAAAGGCAGGGACTGACTGCGAAAAACGGGACCCATTTAAAAAAATCTTAGTGTTTACACGTGCACGGCAGCCTGAGCGCTTTCAAAGTGGCTTCGTTAACCCGTAACCTTGCCCGAAGCTGAGAAAAGAGGACTCCTGTCCGCGGCACTCACACCAGGCGCAGGCACACACTGTGCCCGCGACCCCCGGGTCGGAGGCTGGACTCCCGTCCCGCCCGGAGCGCCCCCGGCGTCCGCCACTGAGCAGAGCACCCCACACGGTTCCCAAGGCAACCGGGGCTCGCGCGGAGCGAACACTCACCCGCTCGCGCCGCAGCGCGCAACGGCCTGGCGCCGGCGTTGGCGAGGAGTAGCATGCCGAACCTGCCCACCAGCCGCGAGCCGCCCCGGGGTAGGGATCACGGTCATTTCCGGGAGCGAACTCGGCCCTGCCGGAAGTGCGTCACCGGACCAACCGGAAGGAACCTGGTCACGGGTCGCGCGTGCTTTGCTCACCATGGCGGCCGCCAAGAAACCTTTGGAGTTCCATGCCCAGCGGCCCTGGGTTCCTGACGGGAGGATAGAAGATTCAGACGAGGACGACGAGGAGGATAATGAAGCCGAGAATGGGTTCTCCATGGAGGAGGTGTTACGGCTTGGAGGCACCAAGGTAATGGCCTGGAACCCCCGGAGGAGGGGATCTGGGCGCGGGGAGTGGTCCCGCGCGTGGCCCCGGAGCTGTGGAGCGGGAGGGCGTCCCGGACCCGGTTCCCAGCTTCGGAAAGTGCTCTGGGCGCTTCCGGCACCACTTCTTTTCCGCTGCTCTTTACAAGATAAACTCGAATTGAGCGTTTTTATGCCGTCGCCTCAGAATGTAGGCGACCCTCTCACTTTACTGACGGAATATAACGGCGCTGCATCGGGTCGGGAGGCTGACTTTCCGGTCCTGACCTCGCGGCCTCCGTGTTGTGAGCTCCCGAGGTGGTGGAGTTCCGGGTCCTCACCGAGTCCGGGCACAGGCTCACTGCGCACTCAGGAGCCCTGCGCCTTCTGGGAACTCACACCCTGACTCTGGGAAAGGGACAGTGCCCAAGCTTTTGAATACACAGCATGGAGAAAAGTGCTACGGAGCACAGTGAGACAGGGAAGGGAGGCATGCACAGTGAGAGAGGGCGTCGGGCAACCCGTCGCTGCTCTGTACGAGCGAAAACCTGAAAGGAGGAAAGCACTGAGCCACGCTTTATGAATAACGAAAATGTCAGTGTGGCTGAGGCAGAGCGCAGTAAGAAATGGGGAGAGGAGTAAGAAATGAGGTCAGAGAGGGAAGAGGGTGGGCTTTTACCCGGAGTTGGACGAAACCATTGGACGGTTTGGCTTATTTTTTGTTAAATGTTGTTTCGAGACTAGAATTGGGGTGAGGAGTTGGAATAGAGGAGGAGAAAGGCACCTTTCCGGAGCAGATTCACCCTTTGCTTTGTGCTTTGCTCTGTGCTCGAGTTGTATTTGGTTTTTAAGTGTGTAATAGATGCACGTGCTACAGAAAGGTTAGTTCTGTTTTTTAAGGAAGGGATTCATGGTGAAGTCTTTTTTCCCACTTCTAGCTCCAGTCATGCAATTTACCTTCCAGGAAGCAATATTTTTGTAATTCTTTTTTGTATCTTCCAAGGAAATAGATATGCATGTACATTATTTTTTCCATAAAAGGCACTGCGTTATAGCTATATGTAATATTTTGTATCCGTTTTTTCTTACTACCTATGAGATCCTTCCATATCAGAATGTAAAGTTCTGTGTCATTGCTTTAATGCCTGCATAAATTATTGTGTCTGTTTTAATTTTCTATCAGTTTTTGTGGATACTTACATTGTCAGTATTTTGCTATTTTAATGCTTCAGTATGTAACCATGAATACCTATTTCCATATTTGTAAGTGTACGTGTCATCAAAATTTGTGGAAACAGAACTGCTGGGTCAAAGGATGTGTGCTTCGATGGATTTTGATCGAAGGTGGCAAATTGCCCTTCTTAGGTTGTGCCAGTTTACACTCCCATCAGCCATGTAGGAAAGTGACCCCCTCCCCCTCTTTCCCTAACAACACCTGTCATGTTTTTATCTTTGCTCTGACAGATTAAAAAATGGATACATTATTGTGGTTTTGATTTTGAATTTCTCTTAATGTTAGTGAGGTTGAGCATCTTTTTATATTTTAAAAATACACTCTTCTCATCCCCCATGAACTGTTTGTTTATATCCTTTGCATGTATTTCTATTGGGTTGTTACTTCCATAACTGCTGTGCAGCAACTTTTATATTAATCATTAATCCCAGTTGCTGTGATATGAGTTGCCAGTGTTTTATCCAGTTTACTATTTGTCTTTTGTGTATGAGAGAACGATAAACTTACCCATTCGTTTCTTTATGGGCCCTAATTTGAAAAGGTTTTCCCTACTCTGGAAATTTTTTTTAATTATGTTGTGTGTTTTTTCTATTATTTTTTGTTTCTATTTTTTACATTTAAATCTTTAATCTGTCAAGTATTTACTTTGGTGTAGGTTGAGAGCCCAGGCAATACCATGACACTTTGATTTCAAAGATACAGGTTCACATTAACTTTTGAAATTTTAACTAAACTGTTGGATTTATAATTTATTTTTTAACTTTATGTTTTTATGCAGCAAGATTACCTTATGCTGGCTGCTTTGGATGAGAATGAGGAAGTTGTGGATGGAGGCAAAAAAGGAGCAATTGATGACCTTCAGCAAGGTGAATTGGAAGCATTTATTCAAAATCTGAGCTTGGCCAAGTATGCAAAATCTTTCATAATTGCAGAAGATGAACCGCCCAACGAAGAAGATGCCAACAAAAAAGCAAGAGTGTCTAAATTAGATAATAAAAAGCAAAATGCAGCAGAAAATGAAAGGACATCAGTCAGTAAGGTGAAAAATAAGAAGAGACCAGAACAACATTCTGATGAGAACAATAGTCCTGTACCAAAAATAAAGAAAGATAAACAACAGGACATCTTTGAATTTGTTGAGAGACCGGCATTGTTACTGAAGTCTGGAGGCAAATGGTATGATCTGGAGTATAGCAATGAATATTCTTTGGAACCCCAGCCTCGGGATGTTGTGTCTAAGTACAAAACTTTGGCTCAGAAGTTGTATGAGCATGAAATTAATTTATTCAAAAATAAAACAAATAATCAAAAGGGCGCCTCTTCTACCTGGATGAAGGCAATTGTGTCATCAGGGACCCTAGGAGACAGGATGGCAGCTATGATTCTTCTTATTCAGGATGATGCTGTTCACACACTCCAGTTTGTAGAAACTCTGGTAAACCTTGTGAAAAAGAAGGGCAGCAAACAGCAGTGCCTCATAGCTTTGGATACTTTCAAAGAATTACTCATTACAGACCTTTTGCCAGACAGTCGGAAACTGCGGATTTTCAGCCAGCATCCTTTCAACAAACTGGAACAGTTGTCCAGTGGCAACAGGGACTCAAGAGACCGAAGGCTGATCTTATGGTATTTTGAACACCAGCTGAAACACTTGGTGGCTGAATTTGTGCAGGTCTTAGAAACTTTAAGTCATGATTCCTTAGTAGCCACCAAAACTCGAGCCCTTTCGGTGGCTCATGAGCTTCTTTGTAACAAACCTGAGGAAGAAAAAGCTCTTCTTGTGCAGGTGGTAAACAAACTGGGAGATCCTCAGAACAGAATAGCCACAAAAGCTTCCCATCTGTTAGAGACATTGCTTTGTAAACACCCCAATATGAAAGGCGTTGTGTGTGGTGAAGTTGAAAGGCTGCTGTTTCGCTCAAATATCAGCTCCAAAGCACAATATTATGCAATTTGCTTTTTAAATCAAATGGTCCTCTCCCATGAAGAAAGTGAACTGGCTAACAAATTAATAACTCTTTATTTTTGTTTTTTTCGGTCTTGTATCAAGAAAAAAGATATTGAATCAAAAATGCTTAGTGCCCTTTTAACAGGAGTGAACAGGGCCTACCCTTATGCCCAAACTGGTGATGACAAAGTGAGGGAGCAAGTTGACACGCTGTTTAAAGTGTTACACGTTGTGAATTTTAATACCAGTGTGCAAGCTTTAATGTTGCTTTTCCAAGTAATGAATTCTCAGCAGACAATATCGAATCGATATTATGCAGCATTATACAGGTAAGTACATACTCTGCCAATCTGTGAATGTGAGGAATAGGTAATCTCACAGTACACGAAGTGCCCCTCTTGGGGGCAAGAGAAAGACTTACAGAACTGGATTTTAGGGCCCCCTCAGCAACTCCCTACTCACTAACTTGTAGTAAGTTCATCTTTGTTTTCCTGTTGGACAACTATGTTACATGCTTTGAAAAGATGGTTTATTATTTTTTATTTTGAAAAGTTGTTAAAATACCGAAAAATACATACACAAAGCATCTAATACATACCACCTAGTACTTCAAATTTCACATTTTTCTGTATTTGTTTTCAATCTTTTGGGATATTAAAGAGATAGAACTACAAATGCAAGTTTCCCTCCCAGAGTCCCCCACCTGACCTTCAGTGTGGCTTATGCCCTCTATTTCTTTATTCTGTCAGCCATTTAGTAATTCATTCAACAAGAATTTAGTTCCAACTATTTGCTGGGTACTGTTCCAAGTGCTTAGGATATAGCATAGTGAACAAAATTCTCTCCGCTAGAGGTGCTTACATTTATATTGGGGAAGTCAGGTGGTAAGAAAATTTGTTAAGTTGTGGGGGCGGGGGCGGGGGGATGACAGTGGTTACAGTTTGGAATTTTTTTTAATAGATTAAGATTTTTGTTTACCAGACTTTGTAATTGACCTGCAATGTACCCATTGAGGGATGATTTTTGCTTAAAGTTTTACCAAGAGTATTACATATGTCTCCTTTTTTTCCTACCCTTGACAATCCCCTGGCTTCCCCTACCCCCCAGTGTCTTATGTCCATTGGTTATGCTTATATGCATGCATACAAGTCCTTCGGTTGATCTCTTACACCCCCCCTCCCACCCCTCAATCCTCCCCCGTCTTCCCGCTGTAGTTTGACAGTCTGTTCGAGGCTGCTCTGCCTCTGTATCTATTTTTGTTCATAAGTTTATAATGGTATTTATTATCCATAAATGAGTGAGATCATTTGGTATTTTTCCTTCATTGACTGGCTTATTTCACTTAGCATAATGCTCTCCAGTTCCATCCATGCTGTTGCAAATGGTAAGAGTTCCTTCTTTTTTACAGCAGCATAGTATTCCATTGTGTAGATGTACCACGGTTTTCTAATCCATTCATCTACTGATGGGCACTTAGGCTGTTTCCAGATCTTAGCTATGGTGAATTGTGCTGCTATGAACATATGGGTGCATATATCCTTTCTGATTGGTGTGTCTGTTTTCTTGGGATATAGTCCTAGAAGTGGGATCATGGGGTCA